TTCAAAATGTGAAGTGATGCTGCAAGCATCAGAGCCGAGGTAGACGGCATACAATCTTGCAGCATCACTTCACATTTTGAAGGTACAAAGCGCATATTAAATGGAGTTACAGAACTCGAAACTCTATCAAAAGGGCTTGGTGCATCCTTCATACATTCGAATAGACAAATGATATCGTCAGCGTACTCTAAATCACACCTCTCCAGCTGCCTATTCAATACCAACATTTTTGGAGACCACTTGGTGCGTTCTCCAGTATTTCTTCTATGACGAAGTTGAATAGGTTAAATAGGGTAGCCTTGATGAACACCACTCCTGGTTTCGCACGATTTACCTAGCCCACCGTAGACCCTTACGCCACCAGAAGTATGCGGTTGCTGTACCCGCATACTTCTGCGGAAGGCAAGATAACTGCTTTACATATTTCTCAGATAACATACAAGTAGCTATCATGTATTTGTAGTCAAAGCTTCGAAAACGTACCATCACCTTATCACATGAATCCCAGTTTTGCTTCAGGTGATACTACCATAGGTGCTACGATATGTTGCCAGTTAACTAAAATATCTAAACAGGTATCATGGGATCATCACTGACCTTGTGAACAGGATTCAGTAAAGAAGTTGGGATTCTCGAAAAGCATCTTCGTGAACCTGAACTAACTGTACCTTATGTAGTTCACCACTTCAAGTTCCGGGGATTAGGTTGCTGGTTTCCATGAATGATCAGCAGGTGCGCGTGACTATGGTTTACACTGTTTACTGTTTATCACACCAAGGTGTGATAATAAAAAATCTTTTTAGATTTTGACTGATAATTGGAATTGAATTTAGTTTTGTTGTTCAATGCAAGTGTTACTACTCTCGGCTTTGTATTTTAGAGCCAGTATTGGGCTCTTGGAATCCCTTAACTAAGTCAAAACTTAAATAGCATTCATAAAACCAAATTTGTAAGGATTTCAATCGCAGTTAAGCACTCACTAACCATGAATTTCGGTATCGTTTAGATTAAAAAACTCGCATTCCGGGGTGCGGGTTGAAATAAACATCAAAAAGAAAAAACTTTGTAGTGTGCAAGAAATATGTACACAAAATCCGAGGAGGGTGTTGTTATTTCTGTCTTTTTCCGAAGCCACCGAATCCCATGGCTGAGGCAACCTCGGTATCGATGAGAGTATTGTCCGCTTTCCTCTTTTTCTCCCTTCGTTTTTCGTTACGATAGGCACGCAGTTTTTCCTCTTCTTCGGCAATTTGTTTCATTCTTTCATCCAAACTATATTCTTCAGCTTTTTGTTCACTTTTACATTTATGCAATGCAAAACTTGAGCAAAAAATCAAAGGAATCTAAGTTGGATTTACCGGTCTTTCACATCCTCCAAAGTGGAACGTTTAATTCTCATTGACATACCCATATTTCTTTGATGTTTTTTACCGTTGATGTGATCCAAATAGTTGATGGAATCTTTCACAACACAGTCGCAAACTTCGCAGTAATAACCGGCCTGGGAGGAGCCAGGGCCGGTTTTTGCTATCACTTGTGATTTGTTTAAATTGGATTCCAAATCAATCTGCGGGAAGTAGGAGCAAAAGCATATGAAAACTACAAACTGTATAGTCCCGAGCACGAAGATATTCTTTTTTAATTGTTTCTTTCTCTTTTCTTGCATTCCTAAGAGCTTCCAGTTCATTGCTCAATCGGTCTTCAGCAAGCTTTTCGAAATAGGCACGATCCCATTTGCGTCGGTGATCCACAGGATTCTGAAATACTCGTTTAGTGTTAAATTTCCGGGCTTACCGAACCAGCCATTTTCTCAAATGCTTGGCAAAAAAAAACGATTATTGAAGGACAGCAGGTAGTGGGCTGCAACACGAAAACAGCATCATGAAACAATGGTACATCCTTCGATGAATAAAATTTCAAGCTTTATTAGTTACGCATGCCAAACACCTCCCAATCAAATGCGTGTTTTCAATAGGTAAACTAAGTAACTTTATTCGTAACATTAGCTTAATGAACTATATAAAAAGAGAAACCGTGAATATATTGACCCATGACTGCATCTCCTTTTTCTGTGCATAGATTATTCTACTAATTTAATAAACCAATACCAAACTTCGTAATCCTTCGACCCCTTCATCTAACAGTTTCAGCCATCCTTAAATGGGGCACTGTCTCTGACGGGAATCCTGCCAGACTATCGCGTTCTTTGGTTATTATAGAAGTTTCGCCTAGTCTGCGTCCACTTTCGAATGCTTTTCGTCCACAATGCCCTATAAGGTGTATGTTCGAGTGATTGATGTGTTGTGTACCAAAGAGACAGGTATTCGAACGCCAAGTCGGTCAACCTGGAGGAACCTTGTGTGGTTCATTATTCCGTGAACAGCAGGTCCTCATGACTATGAGGTGTACCCCGTCAGCTGTTCATTACACAAAGGATATGTAATAAAAACGAAAAATTCCGATTGACGCCCTANATTTAATCACTTTGTGTAGTTTTACTCAGGCCATTCTGGAGACACTAAGGCCGCTGCTTCTCGTGTTCCTGGCGTTGCCGTGGATTTCATTGAGATACAGCTGAAGCTGCGATTGCATCCCGATAGATATTCGTAAACGCACAGTAAGACTGAAAGGTTCGCAGCTGCTGCTGCTCTGATCGAGGTAATTAACTTGTTTCATTGCATGCATTCACAATCTGCAGCTCAGATACCGACAAAGGTATTTCTTCCAAAAAGCTGCACGACTAATGACATAAAGCGATCCTGAATCCAAGATTTGATATATGAACGCTAGAGCAGGTCGGTAGTCTTCAAATAAGATGCGTCTAGGCAAGCCTTTTGAATTCAAATTCAAGTGTTTAGAAAATGAGGAATAGATGTTAGCTTACTGTTAAATTAAGGGAAATCAAACTGAAGTAAGCCTTTTCCCGATTTCAAAAGAAGACCATTTCGTAATACTGCGCCAGAGTTTAGAGCCGTCGACTGGGTGGAAAGCCGCTTTCAGATCCAGGAAGAAAGAGATGGTGATTCTACGAAAAGAATTTCGGTGCTGCAATCTACTACATGTCTGGCGATTGAACTGGACGGAAGCTTGGACCCGTTAGACGCGACATTTTTCGGTTCATGCTCTGCTATCCTGGTAGACAATCGTCTCTCAGTTCTTCAGACGTACTTGCTGCCGCAAGTAAATTAAAACAGGTAAACACGGGAGGTAAATGAAGAGTCAGGTTTGTCTATATTGGATTAAATGAGCATTCGCATCATGTCATGCAGTATTGTAGGGGAGGCCGCGTTATACGTTCTTCCAATCGCTTGTTTCAACCTGTGCTGTATCCGCCTATCATTTGGATCAACTTGAAACGTTATGGTGACAAAAACAGCTTATTTTGGGCGGTATCACTTTGTTCTATTTTGTTCGCCTGTCCCCAAACCGATCACTCTTTCAACAAACGTGATCCGAATGAATGTACATGGCTGATGACATTACCACAAAATATTTGAATTTAACACATCTTGTGATCATGATGCTTCTTCTTGCTCTAAAAATATTTATCTGACCCACCCCAAAGTAGCTTACTTCTATGTGGTCAATTCGGTCAGCGTATCAGTTGAAAAGCAGCGTCACGTTACCGTCCGCTGAAAGCTACCCCGGAAGTTGACACTGGACAGGAACAGGTACAGTACAACGATCGCCTAGGTAGGCTTCTGGTGCGATTAGTTTTCCAACTTGTGCCTTAAAATCAAATGCAAGCAAAACTATATCGGGACTTCGGCTTAATTGAATAACTTCAGCGATTTCAACGATGAACTCATCCCTTTGTGCATCAGAACCCAAGTTGGTTGGTACATATACCGAAATGAACAAACACCTGCTGGTGTTGCTTCCCTTCCGGACACGGACAGCCCGC